CGAGCAGGGGTAGAGGAGATCCCTGCACCCAACTCACCTCCCACAGCCACTCTGTACAGCCTAGACCACCCCATGATTAAAACGGGGGTCCCAGTATTCTGATGTGTATGGAGTATGTTGTCTGGGTCAAGTTGACTGCTGAGGAAATGCTAGGTGCTGCTTCTGTCCCTAAAGGCTCCTTTTTATAATTTTGATCCTAGATCTTGAGATCTGTCACTTAACCTGACTTGCCCTAAGGCCACACTTACTATATTAGCTTCACTTTCTACACAAAAGACGCAGGCAGGTACCCAGTGGAGCTCTCTCAGGTGAGCCATAGGTAAAGATGGAAGCCTGGCTCCTTCCTGCCCCTGTGCTCATGATGGGATTGTCCACTTCCCAGCTCTACCCTCAGCCAGCAGCTTGTACATCTTCAGGAGTATTTCCTATAGAACATTCTGGATGGTCAGCATGTACAAATAGAGCTTTCCCAGTTAGACCTAAGCCCTGTATTAGTGTAGTTTTGTTGCACAGAAGTGAGACAGGTTTGTGCCCATGGCTGCGCAAACACAGTAGGCCAAACTACAGAGGAGATGTAGCTTGGTAGTCCATGTCTGATTGTGTTGTAAAGTGCTCCAAGTGGGAAACAGGGCAAAGGTCAATTTCATTGCTTCCCAGAATTTTGTATTAAAGTCAAGTCTCCAAGTCCCTTCTGGTTCTCCTCAGAAGAGAATGAAGCAGAGAGCCCTCTAGGGTTCTAGAGGGAAAAAAAAAAAAAAGCACACACTACGTCGAGTCCCCTTGGGTGAGGCACACCTGGAACTGGGCAGTGGGGAGATACCAGCAAACAGTTGGGCGACTGGGACATGAGTTTGTGCAACTTAGTGGCAGATGGGCAGGTTTGCCTGAATGCACTAGAGGCTTTCATGTGCCTCAGTGGCTGTGGACACCTCCTACGATGTCTTGTCCACTCTCAGTGCTCCCAAGAGGACTGGGAGGGGTGGTGAAAAATACAGACTAGCAGGCTTGTAGATTTTGCACCTTCCTATCCCCTCATTTGGGTTGTAAAGGCATCATAAGGCTGGCCTGTGAGGTGCCGAGTCATTAATCTCCTGGTTTCTAGAAGGTATACAGGGACAGGCCTGCCTGTAGAACTTGTTTACAGGTACACAGGCCTCCCACAGCGGGATCTGGACAGGAAGTATGACTGCAGCAGATGGCCATTCTCTTGGCCCTGGGCCACGCCTCTTAAGCAAAAGGTGATCAGCCAAGGCCGAAGAATCTGGAGACACTAGAGTAGTAAGAACAGCAAATCACTCTCCCCTTGTTGCTTTGTCAGTGCTGATGTAGACCTTTTCTCTCTCTGTGTGTGTGGGGGGGAACTAGTGAGCTTGTGGATTCCTATAGAAATTCTTGGCCGAGAGGCTAGAAAAGTTGTGAATGAGGTTGTCTCCCTGTGTGTCCCGAGTCTGGAGTCAGGAACACCTGCTAGCATGGCTCTGGGTGTAGCCAGTGCTTCCTCTGTTCTATCCCTTTGTTCCCATGTTTTTTAAGGAACCATTCGTTTATATAGAAAAGTGCATGAGCAATCCTTCACTTACTTTCTATAGAAAAGCGTGTGAGCAGTCCTTCACTTACTTTCTGTAGAAAAGTGTGTGAGCAGCCCTTCATTTACTTTCTGTAGAAAAGTGTGTGAGCAGCCCTTCACTTACTTTCTGCAGAAAAGCGTGTGAGCAGCCCTTCACTTACCTTCTATAGAAAAGTGTGTCTGTAGAAAAGCGTGTGAGCAGCCCTTCACTTACCTTCTATAGAAAAGTGTGTGAACAGCTCTTCACTTACTTTCTGTAGAAAAGTGTGTGAGTAGCCCTTCACTTACTTTCTATAGAAAAGCGTGTGAGCAGCCCTTCACTTACCTTCTATAGAAAAGTGTGTGAGCAGCCCTTCACTTGCCTTCTCAGAAATGACTCATTTTGAACTGGGGTTCTCCAAATTGCCACCTGAGCTGCATAAGAGCTCGGCTTAACAACAGAGCACAAACAAAAGCCCGTCAAGAAGGACATTAGAAACTTAGCTACGATGACTCAAAGGCAGTTTCTGGTTTCCACAACAAAGCTGTGGCCTCTGGGCAGCATAGCTTGCTCCCTACTGCAAGACACAGCCCTCTAGGCAATGCAGAGGCCTTTGCAAAGTCTGTGCTCTACAGTTGGGTAAGCTGACCAAGCCCAGACCTTTCCTCTTGAATTCTGAGAGCCATGTTGAGGAACAGCCTGTCTGGGCCAGGCTTCCTGCACTTCTTCACCCAGTGCAGCCTCCAGTGAGTGGTTTTGCCCTTATTACTGGTTTTGATTGGATTTGCAAGTCTTGGACAAGTTTTCCTTAAAAAGCACAGAAAGAGAAACTTTGTGCAGATCACCCCATTTGCAGCTCCCATTGGCTGGCAGCTAGAGAGCTGCCAGGCCAGGTACAGTCTAGATGCTGCCAGGCTGGTTGGCACTGGGGAGGGGCTTTTCTAGATGAAAACAATTTTCGCTGAGGTGTCTTCATAGAGAATGACTTACTGTTACAATTCAAGCCGCCTAGGGGTGTCAGACTCTCTGGATCGGGCGCGCTCGTGTGTGTGTGTGTGTGTGTGTGTGTGTGTGTGTGTGTGTTGTGACTATGAATTGCCCACATGCAAGGTAAGCTCTGGATTGCTGAGTCTTGGGCCTAGTATGCGTTGGCTTTTCCTTTTTTTTCTTTATGGGCTGTTCTGTGTGCTGCACTTCTTGGAGATTAGTGGCATTTTTCATTTGTGTATTCAATACGCAACAAGGGCCAGTGAACTGTGAAGAACACATGACCATTAAAGATGGAAATTATTCAACATGAGGAAAACCTTCCTTCTTTCTGCTGAACTTGGCCCTGCTCAGTATCACTGTGGAGTGTGGACCTCTTCACAGAGCACGGCTTGCAATTCATAGAGCTAGAGCCTGCATCTAACCCTGCTACTGTGCACCCCACCCCCCCAAACTAATTCATGCGCTAAGATTTTGGTGCATCTCACCACAGGAATTTTGAGGTGTCTGTGGGCATGTCCTAGAAGCTGGAGTTGTGAGATCTCTTGTGGCTCCTGTTCAACATGAGGCCCATATCCTACCTACTTCATTGTGGCCAGGGTCTGAGAGCTTCCGCAGGACTGAAGGCAGAGCCCTTCATTTCTGGCTCATTGGAATGTCCAGAGGCTGAGCCTCCATCAGTCTACTGTGGCCCTGGGTGGTAAGGTTGCACTTGTTAGCTTTAATGACAGGAAAAACAAGAGGCTTTGTTTTCAAGGAAGAAAAATGGTCTATAAGGAAGAGTGGGCTGTCCATTGCAGAAGGGAGTGTCTCTGATTGACCGGGCTGTGTAGGTGGCAGGGTTGTGTATTCTGCAGGTAGGGCCTTGGTAGGGCCTCTGAGGACTGAGAGCCTGTTCCACAGAGCTGTTTCTGTGGCAGGATGCTTGCTGTGAATAGCACACTTCCCTGTATAGTTATGTGATTACATGGAAGGTCTTCAGTGTGCTATTCCAAACAGAAGTTGGTGTTTTCATATCCCCCCACCCCCACCCCTTTTGGGTTTTTCCGAGACAGGGTTTCTGTGTGGCTTTGGAGGCTGTCCTGGTGTTTTCATTTTTGATGTGGACACCATGAATGACTGCTCTGTTGCTCTCTTGTATATGGGGAAGTGTCTAGTGAGTGACCCGCCTCGTGGGGAAGCAGTTGTTGGTGTGCAGTGTTTCACAAGCCGTGTTTCCTTAGGGCTCAAGGAAGGTGGCAAGAGGAAGAAGCAGAAGCAGAAAGAGGACTCGAAGAAGAAGAAGTCGACCAAAGGGAACCGCTAGGCTGGACTTGGCGGCAGCCGCTGCCCCCCCCCGCGGCATCCTTTCGGTGCCGCCCAGGGCTACTTCGCTTAGCAGGATTATGGACATGTGCCCACGGATCGGTAGGATCAGGGGTGTTGGAGATGGAGGTGACAATCCCGGGTGGCCTGTATAGTATAAGCTAGTAGTGACATAGCCTCAGCCTTGTAACTGCTTTCCCCCAACACTAAGTCCTTAGCGTTTTTCCTCTTGAGTCGTAAGGATCTGCCTCATTCTTTTCAGCAGTCTAAGCCCTGCTCCCACAACCAGGTATTTGTAGCTGTAGGAGGCCAGTAGGGTCCATAGGGAGCTGGGTACGCATTCATGACTGTCTCCTGGCGGCGGCGGTACTAGGTGCAGTTTTAGTACATCGGAACTTACAGGTAATATCAGCTGCGCCTTGAGCCATGGGTGTTAGGGTGCTTTTGATTCAGTACTCTGGCAACACATAGGCCACCGTGAGCTACTTCAGATGTAGACTCTTTGCTTGTATTTATTGTTCTACTCTTAATCGTCTCCTGGTAGTCAAGATTTGACACCAAATATAGTTTAGTTTTTGGGAAATCTTGTCTTTTCTTCTTGGAGAAATATTTGTCCTTCAGTCAAAAGGTTTTACGTAGCAATATCGTTTCTAGCTTTCGTAGGTCAGGGCCACCTGGCTATTCACACAGACACACAGCACACACAGCTGCGTGCAGAATAGTCAGCTATCCAGCAAGAAGCTTGACCTTGGTTCTTGAGATTGCAAGTATTGGCCCTTCAAAAGTGTCATCCTGTCACAGATTTATGCCACGCTTCCACCTAACCTGCCATTTGCACTAAGCACCAAGTAGTTCTGATGCCGTCGCACTTCTGGGCCACACGTGTCTCTTGGGGATGTGCTCCTTTTGGCTGAGAGGATCTGTTGCTTGAACTTTGTCTCCTTGCAAAGGAGAGCATCCTAAAAAGTGTTGGTGGGATTGAGATGCCAGCAGTTGGGTCCAGTAGCATGGAAAGGGGAGTTTTGTGAATTTTTGGCACTGCCACAGTTAGGAGCCTGGAACAGAGTCACCTGAGGTTTGAGGGGATGACCACGGAAGTGTTTGCTGTGTTTGCTTGGTTTTGGTGGGAGGTGGTGTGGGCAGTTACCATGGAGTGTGGATTGGTGTTAATGTGTGTTATTGGAAATGTGACCCACAAGGCATAATGTATTCAGTGCTACTGACATGAATAAAATGTAAACGTCACTGAGTCCAGCTCTCTTATGGTCATTCCTTGCCTGTGAGTTGAACTGTTACTATGAAGAATAAAATCAGGTCTTGTATTTTTTTTTTAACACAGTTTTATATATTTATTCTGTATGTGCTTGAATGTATGTGCAAAGGCGTGCTATGTGAGCGTGTGGAAGTCAGAGGACAGCTTGAGGGAGTTGGTCCTCTCCTCCCATGTGTTTTCCTGGGGGCCCAGTGTAGGTGGTCAAACTTGATGGCAAACACTTTCACCCACTGAATCATCTCACCAGCTCCTTCATTTTAAATTAAGGAAGATAAAGTGACATTTTTGGGGCAAAAGATGTGATGTTGTCCCATACAAGTTGTAACCTAGTGAACATGGCTTTATGGACCAGCAGCCTGGTTGAGCCTGGAGGAGAGATCCCTTCTCATCCAGTCCCCATGACTGTAACAAGATACTATCAAGTCTCCAGTACTGAAGAGGAAGGTGCTGGGATGTATGTATGAGGGACCACTTCAGATGAAGCTCCTTGGCCACTCAGCCCACAGCCTAGCTGATGATGTCATGGTTACAGAGGGATTTGGGGTTTTTTTATTGGCGGGGGTGGGGGGGTGGGGATGAGAGACAGGGTTTCTTGCTCTGTAGAGCAGACTGGCCTTGAACTCAGAGACCCACCTGCCTCTGCCGTGCTGGGA